GGATTTTTGAAATAGTCGAGTCTGTGTATTGGCAGATAAGTAGTGCATGCATAAAATTAGCATTAAATTGCTCCGTCCATGGTGTTTTGCGATTTTTCTGGCTGCTGGGCGTCGCGGCCCTTTATGTCTACTTCGCATTTCGTTTCGCTCGAATTAGAAGCTACCGTTCGTTCAAATATATCTTTTTTATTTCTCAATAATTATAGCTTGCAATGCCGCAACGATAATCAAGCTCTTAAAAGCTGCACTTGCGAGTTAATATTAAATTCGCCGTCGCATTTTCAACGCGACGATTATCCATTTAATTACTCGCAGAAGCGCGTCAAAGTCGACACACACTAGCACGAAAAGGGGAAATTCACTGCGTGTGTCTTTTGTCGTTCAACTTCGTTTCCCTCTCTCTTTCTCGAGATGGCTTGGTTCGTTTCGCGAAATGTCTCAAAGATGCCTGAAGTGTTTGTGCGACTGCTCTCGCTACGTATGCATCGCGTATGTGTGCATGCGGAAATGACGCTCATTTATGCAACAGTTTACGCAGATGAACTTTTGCCACTTTCCACTGAGAGACGATGTGGCTAAGTGAAAATTTTCATATTCTAATTAAAACGATTCACCTTATACTATTTGACTTTCATATTTCGCCTTTTTATTACCGTTTAGGAAAAAGGAAATAAAAAAACGGAGTGCACAGAGTAACAACTACAACGATAATAATTATTACTGACGGTGCCTTTTTTTTTATAAAAAGTAGGAAAAAGAGGTATTTTCTATTCGTTCGCCCCGGCGCTCGACAAAAATATTTGCATATGCATAATTCACGATGGCGGCATTAGTGAAGAGCGTCAAAGCAACGAGTTTGCGCGCGCGTCTTTACGAAAAGAAAGAGTGTACGTGTAAAGCGAGAAAAAGAAAGCTTGAGAAGTCGGGCGCGTGTGCAGACGTCGAACGGTTAAAAAATCGCAGCATATATGAATAGGACCGAAGGGAGTGAGAGGGGGGTTGGAAGAGGAGGAGGAGGAGTGCTACAGTGGGTGAGGTTTGCGCTTGAAGGGCTTCAGCAGCAACGACTGTGCTGACAAAAGAATCGCGATGTTGGCAAAACGAGAAAGAGCTAGCGAGCGAGAGCAAGAGACGACGCTGCCATCTCTCTCGAACTCCTTCGCCTGCACTGTGTGTGTGTGTCTCGCATTATATATGCATTCATATAGCTGGCACGTATGTGCGCATATACACATATCCGCATATATTTACGCATATGATGCACAAACACATCCGCACGGGGGTTAGCTTTGTGCATTGTAAACACACTTCGCCACTCCTTTGATGCTTGTTAGTCAACGACTTATACGTATATCATCGCCGCATAGCTCGGTCTCTGTGCGCCGCATGGCACAGCGCACGCACACGCGCCTGCACCAGCGATATATATATATGTGTGCACTGTAAATACGCGTCCAAATGTTTGTTTTCTTTTTCATGCCATTCTTCATTATCATGATTTACTTATTACGTGACTGCCGACTGCGATAGATGGTAACGCTCGCATACGCACACGTCAGATGTGCGAGTGTAATTTTTCTTCTTTTTTTTTCAAAATAGAAAATGACGAATAGAAACGGCGTAAATAATTAATAGCAGGCAGCCGGGGGAGAAAAACGCACGAATAGAAGCAGTTCCGCGAACGTGCGGCATTACCACACGAACGTATCATCACGAGGCAAGCACGGGGACGGGAAAAGAGACTCTAAAGAAACATTGATTTTTCTATCTCGACGCAGTCGATTACATCGATATTGCAGCGCTGGCTAGAGAAAGCGAGAAGCCGAGCCGAGCTAAGCGCGCGCAGTCACAGTCGAGCCAAGAAAAGCACCTTGCGGTATTACATTTGCGGATAATGCTTTTTCTTATATACGTCAAGCTTTCTCCTGGTGGCGCATTGTCTGTATATACAGCTTGCGAGCGTCAACGGCTATGGCAGCGCCTCGCGCATCGTCTCTTCTTTTTTCTTTCTTAGCCTTCTGTATTCTGTATCTGGCTCGGCTGAGTATACATACGCCAGTGAGAAAACATTAACAGTTTGTTTTATTCATAAAATTCAGTCGACGTTGAATTCTCGTTTTGGTCAAAATCGTCGGTCGAAAGACGTTCCAAAGCAGAAGTATTTACCGCTTTAGACATAGAGAGGTACAAAACTTTAAAAGTAATTATTAAAATGGGTGGAGATAGAGTAAAACGGCAGTTTCATTGGCTAGTGTATAAACTGAACTTGAATGACTACCGCTTGCTGCTTAAATTGACTTCACTTCATTTCACAATTCTCGCGCCTTCTCCCTTTTCCAAGAAAAATTTATTGTAGGGCATTTTTGCAAATATTCTCTCGCTTTTTCTGTTTTGTTTCATTTCTCAACGGTATCTCCTCCGATGCTCTTTCTCTTTTCATATACATACATTTATCTTTCTACTCGTATCTTCCTTTCTCTCTCTTTTTCATACTTATCTTTTTCTCTCACCGCAACTTTTTTGAGCGTGAAGTAAAAAGATGGAGAAATGTAGAGAAAACTTTTACATATTATGCATGACTTGATGCATTCACGCGCGCATTGCCTCTTTGCGCCGAGAAAAACAAGAAGCGGATAAGGATGCTCGCCAACGTAGGTGTACCTATACGTCGTTTCGCATGAAGCGTCTGCGTCTAAAAAGCCTCGGCGTATTGCGAGCAAGTGTGCACGAGCTCAGTAGTAGCACATGTATACGCCAAGAGACTCGAGATCGAGCGCGATAGGGAGAAGTAAAAGCCAAAAACATAAGTGCATTCAAAGATGACAAAATATTATTTGATTATGATATGGCGATGAAAAAGAACTATTAATTATTGCAGTATGGCATATCATACGGTCTTTCGTCACTTTTGTGCATTGTTGTGTGACATTATCACAAGTGTGGTCTTTATTTTTATTATTGCTTGCCGCGTCTGTCAACTTTCTTAATGATGTTCGCTGTTTGTTGTGAACATGCATCCATCAAATCCCTCGAGTCTTTTATATCTCTTGATTTATGATTCTTCCAAAGTTCCATACTTTTTTCACACTTATTCGACAGGCAGACTGAGAGTCAATAATAACACGAAATCATCGCTGGCAATAAACGCTTACTTGGATTTGATTGAAGCCGCAGCTCGTCACGCACAACCGAGCGCATATACATTATTATGTACGACCTTCCAGTCTGACTCGACGCTACTACATAAAGTAGAGCGAGAGAGACGGAGAGAAATCAATCCATGTAGATTTCTGGAATTAGGTCATCGGGGTATAAAGTCAGAGCGTCACCGAGAGCAGTAATCCTACCATTCGTTTATTATTATCATCGAGAAGGAAAGTACTTTCATGTATAGCATAGGAGCCCGACGGTAAAGCTCATTTCCTGTCTTTTCGATCAGTGATTTAAGATGTGCAGCATCGCGCCGAGCTCCGGCACTCTATATATATATAGATAGTTTTAGCCGGTGCTCAGGCAACATGTCTTAAAGGCTTTTTGCATCAGCGAGCTATGCACGTTTAGCCTTTACGGCCCGCTTTCTTTCCCTCGTAGCTTGTGCGCGGCAAAGAGCCCATTTCTCGATCCCTTGGGTTTCGAATCTCTCTCACTCTCTCTCTCGCTTCGAATTGAACAAGCCATGCCAGAATGCTTTATCGCCAGAGACTCGTTTCCCTTCCTATACCTTATACATACATCTATAGAGTGCACATGAAGCGCAACGATTTAGATGCATGGTGTATACGCCAGTGCGGCAGGCACGGCTGACGTAAGCTCGACCATTACTACTCGGCAGTGTATACCACGTGCTCTAGCTGCTGCCAGCGCACAATGTGGCGCGTCCCGGCGTATTTAATGACCAGTGCTCGACGATTCTGCTCGAGCTTCTGCGCGCTACTATCTTTATTCGGAGCTTCGTGCAGAGGACGAGCTCATCCGTCTCGGTCAGGTGTTTGTGTGCGTGCGAGGCTTTGTCACGCGCGTCTCGGCAAACGACGCCGCCGCCGCCGCCGCCGCGTGCCTTAATGAAATGTTGCTGCCACGCACTGCATGCGACGGACGAGAGTTTCGAATTCGCCGTCGATGCGTAATACTCGTTGCGCTCGTTCGACTCTGGCTATACGAGCCGCCTCTGACTGCCAAAGCTTGCGGTTACTCTCTCCGACTTGGGCTCGCAGCTCACGCATTGAGTTATCTGATTGACTTTACTATGTGTTTCCGAGTAAAAATAGAGCTCATCTCTGGCTAAACGTAATGACACACGCGTACGCATTCACTAGCTTTACATAAAGGCCCCGATAGAAGCGGAAAGCGGCATTGATAACTGACGCGAGGCATCGATTTACCGTCAATGCCAGCGATCCGAATTCAGTTTGATAAGCTATCAATGCCAAAACGCGCGCTACTCTGTCCTTTAAATGAATCTGCGTATGCCCGACGATGTAGTTCCTCGTATGCCGAATGGATGCATGCGAATACCCATCTATCGCTATCTACTCATGGGTGCAGTGCAGATTTCTTATTCGTAAACGTACGTGTGACATTGCACATGCGCGACGCATTGCTTGCAAAAAAATCTCTATTCCTCGGATTCAAATTGATGGATTTCCGCCATCAACCAGCGATTTCAAAAGCATTATTGGCTAATTCTAATAGACAATAATATAGCGAGTCCTTTAGAGCATAAATTATTTTCATTACCGACGCAAGCTTCGAAAATACCATTAGAGTGTGGTTGGTTCGCAGCCACAATCTATAATGAGTGTTAGTCACAGCTGTAAGCGTTATTGCGTGGGCAAGCGGTGAATGAAAAAAAAATCAAACATATATACATCTAGTACTCGGGAAAGTGACAACTACTGCAGAGTCAGCATTTAAATATTATGTTAAATGATAGTGCGTGAATATACATCGAGGAGGTGGATAGAGAAAATATACAGCCATAAGAGTTTTTTAGCTCTTACCACCACCACTGCTAGCGTCGGCTTGCGAATTGTCTAATGCCTGGATTTCCATTTGCCGGAGTAATTTCGTCGTGTCACTCACGGTTACTATGGTGGCGGCGGTAGTGGGCCTTCCTGCGTAAACAAACGTACACCACATACACCGCGTGTCCATTAAGCAAACCGTATATATGGATGTATGAATAGTATAATATGTCCGACTTTCTATCAAATCGAGTGACCCAAAAATTTGTTTTCAGCTCACAAAATATAAATGTTGTTTGTCACGACCCAATTGATTCTGAGTATCGAAATTTTTCATGTCTAAAAATGTCTAAAAATTTTCAGTAAATTTAAATTAATTTTGGACATGACAAATAACAAATTAATTATGTCAGCAGAAAAAACGATTGTGGGGCATTAATTGTGACAGAAATTATATCATACATACGGGATGTATCGAATCAAAACTAAAAGCTAAGTATCGGCTGACTACATAATCTTGCAGAATATAAAAAATTTAATGTTCTTAATATTCAAGACCCATAGTCACATCCACGTAGACTTAAAAAAGCTCAATGTTGCATTTTAAAGTTTAAAATGCTATTTTAGTTCTATATTCTTAATTGTTTCAGCTAATTTGAAATTTTATTTTTTATTTTCCCCACTGACCAGGTAGGACTAGATTAATATTTAGAATAATTAAGGTCCACTTTGAGCTACTGAAGGATCCACGAGATTGTGAATATAGAGAGCCCCTTAAATTTACGTTTTCATCATAGTTGATTCGATACAACCAATACGTATGAATTAAGATTTCAATTTAAATATAATAAACTTTTTTAAACAAATCAATCTTTTAATTTAAAATTTGTGTTCCAAATCTTAATGTAGGTGCGTATTTTTGTGCCTTACCACGAGCGCGAATAAACATACCGTTAATAATTGGTAAACCGTATTCCAAAATATAATTTAACAATTCGTATACTCAATTAAAATAAGTTAAAAAAAATTGTTTAAGGCTGCAAAAGCTTTAAATTCCATGAATTCATATTGTTGCAGAGATTAAAGCGTGGAGCGCGCGAGGCACACCGCATATTAGACTCTTTATCTCTATATGTACATGTGTATTAATTATTTTAACATTAATATGCAATGTAACACGTGAGGTGAATGTTAAAATTCGTGAGAAACAAAATTATAAGAAACAAGAAACGTGCATGCGGTTACGCATGTTGATTATATCATATCCCGTAGCCAACGGATAGAATTTAAAAAGTTTAGTAATGAGCTTATCATTTCAATCCATAGATATAATTATTCTATTAACAAATTGACAGATAATTTAACTTACCTTGCGGATAATGAATTATTTTTCTCGTTGCTGTATAATTGACATTCGGTATTCTTAGAATGCAAGTGACAAACACTGAATCTGGAAGCTCATCGTCTTTTTCGAATGTCAAATACGAAACTATATTAAAGTACCCATCATTTGATTCAGTAATGATAGGCTTATTTGATTGTAATTCCGGATGACCCCTAAAATATTAAAATTTAAATCAAGTATTAATCTGTTTCAATGGAGTCATTTTTTCGAGAAATTTTCAATGCTCTCGAAAAAATTTTATAAAATTTGTTAAACTTACTCGACGAGAATGTCAAGAGTTGGTTTCGGATAAAGTCCAAGTGCTTGACACGTAACTTCTTTTCCATCGTCATCTTCACCATTGGTTTTTGTATGCCACAATTTAAATTCATCCTCTTGGCCCGTAGCTGTAATGAAAATGTCAGAGTTTGAGTTATTTTAATTAATTTTGACATGATGTGTTGTAGAATGTGAATTTTCTCTAACCAAGGTCGCTTTATGAAATTAGTAAAAGAGCGATATAAAACAATTAATCGGCAAAATTGGTTTCAACCAATTAATAATTTGGTCTTTATAATATTCAACTCAGCCTTTTATCTATTATGATAGTATTAAAATTAAATATTCTTTCGTCAAGACTTCAGATTTCGAGACATTCAATTACTTTTTTCGTCTGATGGCATCTTTTTCTCTGCTACATGTGCATCATTTATCCTACTTTCACGCAAATAAATTATAAAACTGTACCTGTGGTCCTTACTACTGCCATCATCGTTATTTGCTGTAGAGAAAGACGAAGAGAAAATTAAAGTTCATTGACCACGAAATTAAACACTATGGTTATTGCTCTGCATGAAATTTATCTAGCTTTTTTTAATTCTGTATGTTACTAACATTTGAAAAAATGTTGTAAAAAAAAACTTTTGATGAACTCGATCACTATTAGTACTTTAGCTCACACAACAAACTAAGAAACTTATGGATTGAAAATGATCGAGAAGTGATTGTTTCTTAATGAGTACAGTGCATTGTGTGTCTATATTTGAAAATATATTATCTTTTTTTGTTTAAACCGATATAAACATATATTTTTGTTCTATTTTACCTTCCTTTTGACGAAAAAAATAATTGATTTTCAAAGTAAGCTCGTACATGTAATTCCAACAAAAAGCAAATTCGAGAAAAATATGGCATCAAATGCTTTACGAACTATAACTGATAAATCACTCGTCGCTACTTTCACGTACTGCTTCTGCTAACACAGTACTCAGCAATGCTCGCAAGCTGAACCTTTAGCTCCACTGGCACAGAACTTTCACTCAGCGGTTGTAAACAGTGGATGCAGCTTCGCATTACCACCACCTCATGTACTTATATAGAATACATACGCGAGACTTTGAGGCTCCTATACAAGAATATTACGCTTTGAAAACTTTTGATTATGCAGCGTTTCTTGAGTTTCACCCGTCTCGACTTAAACATACCTTTTCAGTCCGCGTAATGATCAATCGAGTACAGATAATTTTTTTTTTCATTTTCGAAAACTAATTAATCACTGGAGTAATAAACGCGTGACAGCGTAGCCCCGTCAAGCGTAAAAAAGCTCGAGTGGGGAAACTCGCCGCAGTGTTCGCTCATGTTTACGTGCGAACGAATAATTATTATCGCGAGTTGATTTATCATCATTGGGCGCGCGCAACTCGTTCGCCATGCATAGTATCCCGCGCGGCCATAATGCAACTATACGCAAAGCAGACTAATAGATATTACCTGAAAAGCTCGTCGCCCGGGAATCTAAATATTGCGCACATTTGTGACCACATCATTATTTACGGAAATCGATAACGCGTGGCTGCTCTCGCGAGCCCGAACTCTATGCCTGGAAAACGTGCACATTCACATGCATCCACGTATATACTAATACATGCATCCCATAGTAGCTTCGTTTCTTCTCTTCCTCGTGCCCAATTAATTTTCAAACGATGAAGAAAAATTGGAGCTGTGGTGTGTGTGTGCTGCCACCATTCCTGTATGCATCGTGTATACATGTTGCATTCACACGTATTTGCACTCCTATGCCCACCCATGGCAGCTCACGTACACTCTCGCGCGCGCGCGCACATACACGATGCACACACAGTCACACGCGAACGCACACAATCACGTGGGTGCGGCCAAAGCGCGTCGTTATCGCGAGCTTCCAGCCTACTATAGCGAGGGCTGTACACGAACGCGTCAAAGCAGAGCATCAGAATCGAAAAAGACAAAAAAAGTTTTCGTGTTTTTTTTTTATCTTTCGATGTTCTTTTGATCTTTTTTTTCGCTTGCCTGCATCGATTCCCCCTTCTCGCGCGCTCTCGCTACCTCTCGCTCGCGTTAGTCATACTTTTCTCGGACTATTTAATCTTTTGCTAGCCGCTTCAACCTCGACAGCTCTTCTTATACGGATTATTCTTATGACCCTAGGGCTTGAGCTAACTTTTTCTTCTCCTTTAGTTTTTCCCCATACTTTCTCTCTTTATCTTCAGCTTCTTTAGCTTTTATCCGAGTCATTATTTTTCTTTAAACTTCTTTTTGTCAGCGTCAATTTTTACCCTTAATCACTCGACCAGTGTTCTCGCGCGCGCGCGTGAGAAGATCTTTTCCCTGCGTATTTCTGCGTCGAAATCGTTAATACTGCTGTCTCATTTATAGGTACATAGAGTTGAGACAATCAAGGTTGTTAAACTCAAGAACTAACTCGAAAATAGTGATCTGGGAATTGTCTCCTACCTTTTGCCATTGGTTCAATCAATAAGTGAGGAATATAGTACCATTTTTCTGATAACACTTAACTACAAGCGAAATGTTTATTTAGTAAAATAAATTGTTTTACAAAATTACTTTGTATAACCTACAAATCTGAAGTTTCAGAAAATACTGATAAATTGTTATTTTAAGATGTTCCAAGCTTGGTCGAGATTGTTTCGCGTATAAATATTCAAAATCGGTGCGTTTTGCGGCTTCATTAACAATCAAAGTACGTTTAGCGTTGTGAAAATATCAGTCACGCACGCTGCGACATGTCGCAGTAAACTCACGTGTATATGCTTGTACGTACTCATCCGGTCACCCCTACGTTAGTGCAATAACGCAGAGCATTGTACAGTCACAAGCTCACTACAGTCACAATTAATAATTGACCCGAGGCTTTCTTCCACGAAGTGCTTACACGTGCGCTGTCTGTGCACAACGCAACATAGACGCGAGCTTAATCTCGCTGTAATTCTCATCGCCATCATCGTTGACGTTTTATTTTTTAACATTTAGCGCAGGCTGGAGTTGTTTGTAGCAAAAGATAACGAAAAAAAAAAAAAAAAATTATATGTACGTAAATGTATACTCACAGTAAACGATCATGGAGGCAGTTTGAGTAACTTCGTGCTGCCAGGTCGATATCTGACAGGTATAATTGCCCGTCAGCTCGATGCTCGGCCTAACGAACTTCATGGCTCGGTACATGGTGTTGTTGTCCGAGCTAGCTTTGTAATCCAGGTCGATGTACTTCATGATGAGATCGCTGGCCTGTGGCAGTATGCCGTAAATCCATTGGTAGACGAGCTCGTAATTGTTCAAATACCATTTGACCACGAGGCCTTTCGGCGACGTGCCCGCCAAATCGTAGTCGCAATCCAGTATTACGTACTCGTCACCGCTCTCCACTGTCGCTGGTATGTTTACCTTCTTTATCACAATTTGCAGCGAGCCTGTAACACAAACGTTCATTCGTTTAGTTCGTTTGAGTTCGCCGGTACAGAAACGTCAGAGAAGAGGGGCTTTACGCAATTTACCCCTCCACGTTATTCTTGCGCAATTTTTGGGGTTAAATTGCACCGTATTAGCCGAAAAACAAAGCTGCTCTCGCAGTCGGGTGAATGTGACTAGCCGCGTGATTGGTAAACTAGTCCATATCGTTTGAAGACTCCTCGAGCAGTGCGCGAGCTTTCGAGACGAGAGAGAATTTAATAAAACTTAACAGCTTTCGAGTGTAGTTGCGCGCTAGCGGCACACTGCGCTTTCAAGCTCCTTCCCCCATGCCTTGCATTAAACACTTAGCTCTCTTTCTCAGTAGCTTCTATTTGCCAACCATTTGGCCTCAGCTCACCTTGTATTCTCTTTCACTCGCTCACTTTCTTTTGCCGACGTTCTTCAACATCCCTTGCAACGCGAGTAATAACATTTTCGAATATTTATCGTGCCAAGCTTAGTGTAGCACGCGGCTACTACGAAAGTTGCTTGCGGAAAACAGATTTTCTCTCGCTTTGCTTCCGTCTTAGCCAAACTCTTTGGAGCTCGCCGAAGCTATATTACAATAGGAAAAAAATACCGGGCATCGGTAGAAATTTATGAAGCCAGCTCGAAACGGTAATTTAATATTCGCGGCGCGTACAGGCGTGCAAAAATGAAACGACGCCCCTCCCCCCCCGTCAATGCATATTCCGCGATGCATTCATGAATCATTGAATGAATTTTCGGATAAACGAGCACGCCTATGGAACGTGAGCATTGTCATGTTATAACGCAATAATTGATAGCTGATAATTTAATTTGCTTGCTCATACCTACGCCATTATTATTTATAATCATGGGCAAATCGAGCAAGCGCTGTTTCGGATTATTTCGGGTCAGACGAACTGTGTAAAATCATTGTCAAGCTCCTACCTCGACCAAAGTGGATGTATAGCCTTGGAAAACTCAGTTTTGTACATACTACAGGATTCCTTTATTAATTTTTTTTCTTTGCTACCCTTTGATTTCTATATTCATATTCATAAAAAATACTTTTCAATAACATTCATTCGCAATTAGCTTCCTTTTAAAAATAATATTTTTTTTTTAAATCAAAAAAATTTTCTTTTTGAAAATTGAAATTGATTTAGTTAATCATCAAAATCGTTGAAATGATAATCATATTTATATAATTTTTAGATTCAATCAAAGCTGCTTATTAAATACTTTAAAAAACTCAAAGAAAAGTTTAAAAACTTCTTTTGATTGAAGAACGCTTTAAAACAATCGACAAAAGAAATAGAGAGAGAAAGTTTATCGCTTTTCCGACTACGTGTATGCACTTTGCACTGCAGCCGTACAGGCGCACACGTATCATACCTATATGCTCCGATGTATGGTAGCCAAGTTGAAAAGAGAGTGAGTAAGAGACAGAGAGCTAGAAAAAGAGAAAAGGAGAGTAATTGTGTGCTTTTCTGTTTTCGACAGATTTTAACATGCTCTATATGAGCGCGTCCAGCATAAGTCGGCCACCCCGCGCGATTACGGCATTTTTGGCCGAAAGTGTCGTATGTTTAGCTCGCTCGGAAACGTTTACCAAGAGTCAGAAAAAAAATCCAAACACATAGATCGATAGATTTTTTCCTCCTCTTTCTAGTGGTGTAACTCAAAAAATTCTTAAAAATTGATTTTGAGGTTAAAACTCGACTCGAATGTTTAAGTCAATTTTCCCAAAAAATGTATCCTCCGATTGCAAAATAAACTGCACCAATCGAAAGAGGAGGCAAAAATCTATCGAAAACAATGTTTTCCAGGATGGAGAAATGATAAGAACTATTAAAGATATCGAGATGAATAGCTCGGGTCAGCGCGCGCGGGCCTGTTTTCCGTGCGTCAGCGGCGGCACACGCGCGGCGCCGTGTCTTTGTCTTTTCGACTCGCTCGTAATCGCTTAAAAAATGCTGAAAAAATAATGTTAACACGTAATTCGATGGATTTTTCTCTCCTCTTTCTGATGGTGTTATTGAAAAAATTCCCAAAAATTTTTTTCATAGTCAAAACTTGATTCTAGTATTTCTATCTTCTAGTATTTCAATTTTGACCTCAAAATTAACATTACCAATCGAAAGAAGAGGAAAAAATCTATCGATTTACGTGTTTAAATTATTTTTTTATCATTGTTTTAGCGAGTTGAAAAGACATAGGCAGGAAAAAAGGTCCGCGCGCGCCGTCCCACACTATACATCTCGATATCTTTAATAGTTGTTATCATTTCTCCATCCTGGAAAACATCGTTTTCGATAGATTTTTGCCTCCTCTTTCGATTGGTGCAGTTTATTTTGCAATCGGAGGATACATTTTTTGGGAAAATTGACTTAAACATTCGAGTCGAGTTTTAACCTCAAAATCAATTTTTAAGAATTTTTTGAGTTACACCACTAGAAAGAGGAGGAAAAAATCTATCGATCTATGTGTTTGGATTTTTTTTCTGACTCTTGGTAAACGTTTCCGAGCGAGCTAAACATACGACACTTTCGGCCAAAAATGCCGTAATCGCGCGGGGTGGCCGACTTATGCTGGACGCGCTCATATATGGACGATTCTCGTTGAAATCAAAAGTCTAAAAAAAAATGTTTCCTGCTAACATGAAAAACTTGTTTTGGATGTCATAAAACTATCTGTATTCCCAAATTCTGTTCGTATTTTTGGGATCCTCTATCGTCCTAAAAGTCCCAAGTTGGAATTTTTCTGAAATTCATGCTTTTTGCGAATAACTTTGGTAAGGCTTACTGAACAAGTGAAAATAAGACTGGCGTGATCTACGAGTTAAATACATTAGTTTTGAATTATGATGCTTTGATGAGAATATGAGCGCCTGAATTACATGGACGACCATGTCAATAACAAGAAATTATTGCATCTCTAAAATGTTGTATGTTTATTCGTAGAAACGGAGCGTTGCCAAATCAAAATGATGCGAGAAAGACAAAAAGAAAAGGCGAGAGTAGAAGCGAAACGCAGCAACTGTGAAGAAACGTCAAGGGAACGAAGTTTGCTCACTATGCAAGCTGAATCGATAATGAGTCTTTTTCAATTATCGTGAAGTTTCGTATAGAGAGTAATGCAGCCGTATGTATGTTCGAAGCAACGGAGTCGAAGATGCACGAATTGGGTCGAACCAGACCTCTATTTTCCTTTACGATTTTTTCTCTTTCAATCTCTCTCTTTCCCTCTCTCTCTTTGAGCATCGCCAAGTCGAAAATGTCAAAACGAAAAAAAAACCAGTCACGCACGTCACTTATATACTGCAATTCTGCGTCGCTTCACTGCGTCATCGACGTCGTCGGCGTTGTCGACATCGTACGTCGCGTACTAGTCGTGTATGCATATGTGCTGGCAAAGCTCGAATTGAGTTTTCACGATCTAATTACAGCAACGTTTTCGCAAATATACCGCTTAATTGGTACACACACACATACATACACTCACATAGCAATACAACATACATTCATCGTACAGACAGCGTCCAAGCGTACGCGAGACTTGAACGAGTTCACGTGCACACTCCAACGTCCCTCTCCAGACATATGAAACAACAGACTCGATGTTGTGCTTCCAATAGCGTGGCGTCAAAGCGTGAAAAATATATAGGGCTTCGTGCGTCTATTCGCTTTTTCTCTCTCTCTCTCTCTCTCGCATATAACGTCTTAAATAGCCTTGCCGGGCCGGTGCAGCGCATTGCCATTAGCACAGGTGTCGGCGCTGATTAAGTTGACCGGGCATGCAAATCGAGTATTTCAACCGGCTCGTCGGCCACGCAAGCCACCCCGGTGTATATTTCAAGCACAAAAGCAAGAGAAAGAGAGAGACTCGCAGCGCAGATAAAGCCCTGTTTGCCTGGCTGCGCGTATGCAGTGTAGGCGTAAGCGATGGCCGCTAACCACGCGCTCAACCGTCCGCCCACCTGACGCTAGATTTGACTAGCTTGTTGCGAGCTTCGTACAATATATATATATATACGTATATGTACGAAGAATCCACCGCTGATTCCGCCCCAAACGTCTAATTAGAGGCGATTTATCATAATTGAGCGCCAGGCTGCTATCGAGATTGCAATCTATAGCTCATATGCGAGCTGTACCTCCCTCGATTCCACCCTCTCAGCACCTGCCTCTTTTGAAGCTTCAAGATTGTGATTTTTGTGCATACGTTAGCCATTGCAGTCTGAAAAAGTATCGAAAGGATAACTGTCCGAGATTTCGAATAGCTTTCATAATAGTTACCCTTTAATTATAATGATGTGATTTGGACACACGCGGGCGACACTATTTGATATTAGCAAGCATTCAAAAAATGATAACTCAACTCCATCTCATGAGAAGCATAGATTTATAAATAAATTTTAATTGGAATTTTACAATTTCCCCTTATGATCAATGTGCATCTATGATATATTCGACATTCCAAATCGTTCGACAGCTAAGCATCAATCACATGAATACGTTTGACATTGAATTTGTGATTGCTCGTCGGTGCTGTTGCTAAGAAATCCAAATGTCATGGATCCGTCAACGGTTTCCTGCATGCCACTCATTAAAAGATACAAGCACACATACGGCATCGACCAAAACGGAAATGCGCGCACACGAGTAGGCCTACGTACGACGAGTGTAATATCTTCGCTACTTTTGTGGCCACCAAGACCTCTTGGTTTTTTCTTCGCTTTCCTTTGCACGCCTAGCTGTCATTGTCTTTTCTCGTATGTATTGCTTGCGTGCGCCTGACGTACTCTTCCTTACCGCGCGCTCGCATTTTACTCGATGGCGCTTCAATATACGCGCGCGTTAAACTGCAACGGTGAATTATCGGAATTTCGTCAATGTCACAAGTAACTACACGTATGAAGATTTTTCAACGTACGAACATTGACGTGCGAAAAGAGCTCGGGCGCGATTATTGTACTTCTTTTTCTGCGGCGGTGCTAGCAAGTGACGAAGAAGTCAATAAAAGCATAAAAAAACGCCAACATTTCCGATACACGCGCGCGAGAGAGCTGGACAGTATTCACGTTGCCCAGTAAAACATCGAGGAGTATTACGACGACGCGCAATCGAGCGTTAAAAAATGAGAAACAGACGCTAAAACTCCGGCTCGCTCGGCTCGAATTCCTCGACTGAAGCTGCAAGACCCGTACGACACCATGCAGCTTTATAGAGCCAAATTCTTTTTGTTTCGTTCGAGCTTCGTCTCACGAGCTCACATATGGTCAATTCTCACTCAAAACAAGTATCTCAAAAAATGTTGTAAGTGATAGCACGTGTTGATGTCGCAAATTTCTATTCATTTCATTACAATCTTCCTTTGACAGATATAAATCTGTCAAGCGCTTTGGGCAGATTGCAACATTTTTCAGCATCGACCGACTTTTCGTAACAGTTCGTTCAAATGAAGTAATAATTTTTTCAGCATACGAGCCCGTTTGAGGCTGATTTCGCGCTGAGCGTGCTCAGTGAGTAAGGCATTCGTATACAGTCGAGGAGAGCAGCGCGCTATGTGGCGACAATTCACACTTCTCCTCGTACTGAAATCAATTGAATACAGGTCG